TTGAAATACACATGTAGGATACATGGAGAGTGAGGAAGCTTCAATTCCATTGATTCTTGTCTTCTTTTATCCTAGACATTAAGGAGAACTTTTTATCCCTGGTTATCAACTCTAGTGTGGGAGCCATAGGAAAACTACAAGAAACCATCTGAACTATATCAGAGGAGTATGAACCTTGCATGTCTGAGAAGTTCAACATTTTTTCCTGCTATTTTTGTTTACTGCTTTTTTAGGATTGTTAGATTCATCTGCTGATTTTTGAACATTTCAAACTAGACTTAACGGTTCAGTAAAGTAGTACTTCGTCTGTTTGAAATATTTTGGCCCTATTCTCATGGGATCGATATGCGGTACTCTTTAAATGTTTTATTATTTGACATGCATACATGCGTTTGGGGCTGACTTACTTCTCAGTAAGTTTCGACGCATTAAATTTTTCATGGCTCAAATATCTGCCTATTTCAGGACCTTCTAATTCTTTATTAATAGATTAATACAATACGCATAATACTTGACCTAACTACTATTATATTTCTGTATAATACATTACAGAAGTACCAATTATAATATTTCAATAATAAAACAAAATAATTTATGAAAATGGCTAAATGCGACTTGAAGTTCTCTTTTTTTGTTTGCAGTAGCATTTCTCTTTAAATGTGGCATTTACATGTTTAGATGGAACAAATAAAAATTCATCTGCAATCTTTTTATTTTATAGCTTGAACTATTGGCATGCTTCGTTATTAGGGTGATTAATATCCCTGTAATTGAACTTTGTTGAGTTGCATTAGTATTTCTTTATTAGGGTGATTTATATCCCTACAATTAATTTTATCTAAACTTTAATTAACATTTTTTAGATCAAATAATTAAAGTAATTTGCAGTATTTTTATTTTATAACCTGTACAGTTAGTAATATCTTTATTAGGGTGATTAATGTCCTAGCAATTCAATTTGAACTCTGTATTTATCTAAGCATCGTATTAGTCATATGGTTTGATGGGGCTTGACTACTCAGATCAATAATATATACAATTAAGCATACAATCTTGTATGAGTAGAATTTTCATGGTGAAAAAATGTAAAGTTGAAATTTGAAAATTTCGTTAGAATTTTGTTATTAATGATGTGTTTTTTAACTTGCGAACTATGTGACTGATTCTTACGAAGATGAGCAGCTAAATGAAGAGTTTCTTATGCATGGTCATGTATATATTTTTGGATCCAAATTTCTTATGCTAAGAATTCTTGTAAGCTCTTGTAAAACAGAAAACAAAGAGAAGATTGGAGGAGAAGAAGAATAGTGAGAGACTCAAAATTTTATTGTTAGCATAAATACGAAGCAAATTGCATGTGAAAAATGGCTTTTTGACCAGCTATTTATAGGGTTTTATATGCTATGGAAAAGGTTAAAATTTGGTCTCATAAAAATAAATAAAAGAAATACATAATAGAATTGTTACATACACATGGACACTGGTTAGCATATCTAATGAATATATATGGATAACTCCCAAGCCAAGTGATTAGGAGTAGTCGCTGACCTAAAAGATAATGCTAGCATTTTGGCAAGTGACACCGACAAGAGATTAAACTTGGAAGTAAATAATATAATACAGATGAACTTATCAGTTATCTTGAAGCAGTCGAGCTATAAAAACAAACTAGCAATTATATTTGGATATCAAAATTTGATTCTATTTTCGTGATGCTTGGTTGTGAATTTTCATATTGTAGGATTTATAAATTCTTTTGGTTTGTCTAATAAGGTTGTTATATTAGATTGAAGGTTTTTTATAAACTGGAAGAGTTAATTATATTTTTAAAGTTGGTTGGTTAATGCAGTAGGAACTGAAAGGATCTTGTTTTTGAAGCTTTAAAACTTTCAGATGATATCACAGTGCAATTTCTTAACAAGAGGCTGTAGAGAACGTTTAATCCTTCTTGTATTCGTTAGTTCTCTGGCTCTGTTTGGTTCCATTACCTTGACTGAAATTAGTTCCCTTAGTTGTGATGATTACTATCTCAAGCATACAAATCAATGGCACAAAATGATGTATGCCATCGTACATGGTGCTGCGCGACACATCAAAATAGTGTGCTTTATTTGTTGCATTGTGCATTGGGCAAATAATAGCGCATGATGAGTTGGCACCATGGTCTTGCTAAGTTAATTTTTTAGATTTAATATAAAAAGAAATAAAGAAAAAATTGCGTGCATACAATTCATATCTTATATATTTGTATATTAAACATCTAAAATTTAATAGCACATAAAAATATTAACTAATTTTTCTTTTAAAATAAAATACACATTTTTCATGAATATATTTTAATGTGATTATGATACAACATGCACACACCATGCAATTTGCCATGTGTTATGAATCTACGAAAACCTTTACATTATGGTGCATTATTTGTCATTGATAAGTATGGTCTCTAGTGCAGACTTATTTAGCACCTCTACCCTTATGGGGAGATGTATTCCGTTCTGCGACTAGAATTAGTTAATTTTTGCATGGTTTTATGAGAGGACTAGAGCATTTCCAAGATTCTTGTTCTGCACAGGAAAAAAAGAAAAACTCAAGTATTTAATGGAACCTTGAATTAGATCAACCAATTAATTTTTTTTTTGAAGGAAACAAGAAATAAATGGCTGACTAAAATTTTTTGGCAAGCTTGTACAATCTCAAATGTTAAAGCTTGTTTTGACATATTTTACCTTCACTTTGCATGCATGCTGTAATGTTTTATTTTTTTATTTTTTTGGTCTATAGCCCATAGCCATGGTGTATGTCATGATGTTTCTCAACTCGTGACACGATTTATCTAGAATATGTATGTCCGATTCAGGTATTATTACCGGTTTAAATTGGGGACCAACTTAAGATGTTTTCATATTTTTTATGTTTTATTAGATTGAAATTTTTAATGAGAAAGCATTTATCACTTCTCATCACCAGCTGCTAGGTTCTAGCTTTCCGTGTTAAAACTATCTTACCTTTTAGTTAGCTGACAGGCTGAAATGATTAACTGTTGTTAGTTTAATGGGGTCCTTGAGATGGAATGATCACTCGGAGGACTGTTTAACGTGGTATGTTGAGGCCTTGTTTGGAAAAGCTTTTTCAGTGCTTTCTGTTTTAAGATACATCATTTTCAGTGCTTTCTGTTTTACGAAACATCAATAACATATTCTGTAGTTAGATTGCTTTGCATACTTCTTTTTACCAAACTCCAATTGTACTTCATTTGAGACCGCTATTTCCTTGCCATTCTAAAAAATGTTTTTTTATGAAGTTCCTTTTAAACAAATTTTTATGAAAGTATAATGCCGACCAAACGAAGCCTATGTGCCCAGGTTGATGAACAAAACATTGCTTTAATTAGTGAGCTAGATTTCCTTTAAGTTGAATGTCTATGAACAGAATATAGCAGACTAAATCTTTTTAAGTGCTGGCCATCACAATTATGAAAATATAACATTTAGAAGCTGCCAATACATCAACGATTTCATCATTTTTTTTTTCAGTTAGGAAAAACCTCTATGATATAATTTCATATTATTTTGAATTATACCCAATCTGTTATATGGACCAGTATTGCAAAGCTACTTTGTTCTCTAGCGTTTGTTTTAAGAACTTTTATATGTGACTTATTTCATTGAATTTATATGTAAGATCATTTCTCGTTACCTCCTATGCATAATGTTTTATTTGGAGCATAATCCATTTGTGCTTATGTCTTCTTGGCAGGGTGCCTATTCTGATTTATTGCGATTAATTCTACACTTTTTGGATGCACTGTGATTTATTGAGCAAAATCGATCCCTAATCTTTTAATGGAATATATGCTTAGTTGGGTCCTAAAGTTGAAGCTGGGTTTCTTAGAAGAAGTATTTTTTTAGCATTGTGTAATAAGACAATATCTTCGAGTGTTAAATTTAAAATTTTGGATTATGGGAATTCAAGTTGTGCAAATGGAATAATTGGATTGCCATGCTAAGCACGGGGGAAAAGAAATGAGGATGATTATATGATGTCTATTAAGGAATGAGAATGGTAATTCACATTTATGGGATTGTGTAAGGTACCTTTTTTTTTCGAATACTAGCATGTGGAAACTAGATTTATGGATTTCAGCATACACTGTAAAAGACAAAAGACACCAATAAGGTGGTAAATAAAAAATTTATGAAACAACTTCATGGTTGTGAAAGTTGGACCTAGGGCAGCTAACAATTCAACTTCAAGCCGAGCTGGTGTTAGCTCAAAATCGGCTCGAATAAAATTCAATCCAAAATTTTGACCGTAGCTCGGCTCATTTATATCGATCCGAGCCAAAATTCAAATCAATTTTTGAGCGATTAATAATCTTCGAGTTGAATTTGCTAAATTTATGGCCCTAACAACACTGCTTGTTAACGATTCAATTTTGCGGCTCGAAAAAAATTCAATCTAAAATTTTGGCTCGTAGATTGACTCGTTTATTTTGATTCGAGCCAAAATTCGAATCAATTTTCAAGCGATTAACACGATCTTCGTGCAAAATTCACGGCCCTCGTTGGACTCTACTGGTAGTAGAAATTACAATGGAGAGATGCTGTTGGAAAAACAAATTATTTCTAATCATCTTATTAAAAATGTTATATCAACGAACTCACATTATTACTAATCATCTATATTAAAAACATTATTACTAATCATCTATATTAAAAATATTACATCATTTTAATAGTTACAATTAATTTTAATATTGTTTTTGATAATCTTAAGAAATGTTAGGAAATATAGCAAATAGAACAATGGTAATATGGGTAAAGGTTTGTGCAAAAGTAACAGTTGAGAAATGTCATCTCATGTTTTTGATGATTATATCTAGTCTATCATTTAGAGATGACTGGGACATTCATTTGAGTTGACAGTATGCATCATTGGCTAACATGAAACATTTTTGGTAAACAAGGCGACTAAATAAAATGATTTGATCGAATCAGGGAAAAGATGGACCGCCAAGGCTAAATATAGGTAGATATTGTGCAACAACAACAACAACGAGCTTTTATCCCAGTAAGTTGGGTCAGCTACATGAATCTTTTTTCTCCATTGCAGCCTATTCTGTATCAAATTTTCATTTAATTCCACTTCTTTGATTTTGATTATCTCAATTGATACATGAAAATGAGGTTTTAGGCTAGTGAAGTAGTAGAATACATTATTGCCAACTAAAAAGAAGCATTTGTGTTGATGGGGGTTTTGGGGGCGGCGTTGAATCCAATTTCATTGCCCAACTTCTATGATATGCTGATACTTCAATACAAACTTCCATGCACTTGTCCAATTTTTTAAGAATAAAAAAATTTCGGGCAAGCATGTTATATTTAAATTTTAAAAAAAAATTCAATACAAACTTCCATGCACAAGTGTTCTTAAAAGTTAAATTTAAATTTTTAAAATATTATTTAGATTGTACTAAGTAAAATATTTCTAAAAGGATATTGTTCATCATATTTCTTTAGCTTTTGTTTAATTTTAATTATTTTTTTATTGTACTTAATATTTTTTATTTTTTAAAAAATTTCCTTTGTTTACTATCACGATTTATGAATTATATGATAGTCATTTATTTTTTTAATACTTAAATATCATTATTTTACTATCTTGATTTATGAATAATATGATGATCATTTATTTTTTTTAATTCTTAAATATCATTATTTTTTCATCTTTATAACGTTAAGTTCCTTTTTACCCGTTTCTTTTTTATTTAATTTATGTGATTAGCAAATATTATTTTAAAATTTATAATATGTATATTGTAATACCTTGTCAAAGGCATGCCAGTGTCATATATTTTCAAAGCTAGGTGTATCTCGTGTCCTTGTCGTATGGTGTCTGTATCGATGCATTTAGCCCAACTTTTAGTTGGCATGAGCATGAAGATTTATCTTATATTTACTGTCGGGTGGACTTTTCCTTTGAGAACTTATAATCTCTTTTAACTTCTTTTGTCCATTTCATTAACTTCATTTTTTCCCCTACGATTATCTCATTTTTGTTCGCTATTGCTGTTATTTTTTTCACTTTTACTTTATCTCTGATATTAATCTAATTTTGCAGCTACATGCCCGGCTGGATTGCAGATTTTAATTCACGGTTGCTGTTTCTCTAATTAGCTTATGATTGAACGAAAGGATTTTGGCCCCTCGCTTTTATCCATCCAGTTTATTATGATGTGGTCCTGACTTATAAAAGCTTTGTTACTGTACCAATTACTTCTTTTAGTAGATTGCTTTGTGCAGACTATTTAAGAAAAAGAGGATTAGCCTCTTGATAATATGATGTTAATCTCATTGTTTATTTAAGAACTAAGTATGCACATCTCCAGGATTGTTGGATTTCAACCATGCAGCAGGATCAACGAGCAGTTGCCGAAGCTTTCACTATGTTGATGGCTGGATGGGTTTCTTTTGTAATTTTGTTTAGATTTAGATCCACTGTATCCCTTTAGTTTTGCCTGATTCTATTGTGGTTGCTGCTGCTGCTCCTGTTTTTATTTTTTCCCCTTTTAGTAACGCCTCTTTTTCATCTTATTTTGTTCTGTTCTTTTAACCAATTGTAAATAGACCTAAGAGCAGGGTTACACTGTACATGTGCTGGAGCCAAGCAGCTTTATCACCTTGAGTGTAAAGAACACCAAAGTAAAATAATGCATGAGAAGTATTGCTTTTTTGAAGGACTTTAGTTGTCATAAGAACTGGTGGTTTATTAGGTTCCTGCATTGGATTGTGATTTTGCTTTCAATTGTCATTTTTTTTGCAGTATTAGTTTGATAACCTGAGCTAGTGCCCTCTTGTGGGAAAAAATTGCTGCGACCGGACAACGGATGTGATATAGTAGAGCGGAGCTTTCACTGAATCACATCTGTTTTCCGGACGCAACTCATGCCCGGTTTCTCCTCTTGCGGAGACTTCCCTGTAATCCTATACCGTGGAAGCATTTGATTGCATAGTGTGTGAGGAATTCCACAGTGAGCACTTGTGATCCACTGAGAATCCCACAAGTAACTCCATAAAACGTCATATAAGGAATTTGTTGTCCCCGCATATTTTGTACACATGAGATGTTTTCCTCTGGACACGAGTCTAGATTTGTGAACGCAGCCTATTGTAAAAGTGAAGGGTAATGAATTTTGTGCCAGTGTTGTTATTAATAATACCTTGATAGGGTTTCTGTCCCAGGGATGCTTAGGCGTATATTGAATGCAGCAAATTATTTGCATATATTGCAGATAATGTGACGTTATTACTAGTATTGCTCTGCAGGCATGAACAGGGCTGTAATTGAGCCTGCGTATGATGTAGATTGGACTTTGTTTGGTGATATTGTAAGTTGTTCATGTTGGGCTTGAATTTAAGTCTAGTTTTCACCTGATTTTTGATATTGATTTGTTTAGAAATTTGAAGACTTGGTTTTGATTTGTATATGAATTGATTTGTTTATATTAATTGAATTAATATTTGAAGGTGTTGATAAAGAAGTTAAAAATTTTAATATGTATTTGGGTTTTCATATAAATTCATCTACAAATCGTTTTATAAAATTAAATAAGTAATTGAATAAATTATGAATTAGATTCTAATTATTTTATTTTAATTAAATATGGAAACATATTTGTTGGAAGTAAAAATTTTAATATGTATTTGGGTTTTCATATAAATTTATCTACAAATCTTTTTATAAAATTAAATAAGTAATTGGATAAATTATGAATTAGATTCTAATTATTTTATTTAAATTAAATATGAAAACATATTTGTTGCAAGTTTTTTTTGTAATAAAATAACATAAATAAATATTAGTGATTGTGCTAGGAAGATTTTAGATATGGAGAAAATATTCGGTCAAACACAACAGGTTCAAATGGCCAACTTTCGGTGGTCACGTGTTACACGTCAGTGGCGGTGGTTGGTCGTGCGGATGTCCGGACCGAATATTTTTTCTAATATATGAGGTGATTCAAGCAAAAAGGTAGTGGAAGTGAGGCTTATAAGTAGTAGACTAAGGTTAATGGGTTAGTACATTTTCATTCTCACCAGTGATCCAAAGTTTAATGGTGAGATCGAAGACATGCCTCTTGCAACTGATCCAACTCACCCATAGTCATCCCTAATCTGTCGTTCTACAATACCGACCCGAAGCTCTTTGGAAAATACTTTGGAGCTATCAAGCAGTGCATAAAGAATAGAGATCAGAGATAAGCAAAGAAGGTGTCAGAACAAGTGTTGGTGGAGACAAGGGACATTAAAAGGCATCAACTTTCAGTCCGTTAGTATCTTGACTTGACAATCGTCAAATAAGTGTTAAAACCAGATGCCTTCGATTAAATGACAAAGGAGGATTAGATGGCCTCCGAAACTCTGGAGGTTGCGGTCGATTATACTGAAATTGGCTGCCCAGAGACTGTTGAAGTGGTGGCCCGATGAAAACCACTAGCGGTCCTTGGTCGGGGAGATTTAGGAGCAAAAATAATTTATTTCAAGTTTGACTTTTCTTTTATTATTCAAATGATTGTCATTGGCGAGCTCATCCTTAGTGAGAGGATAACTTTTACGACGCCCACTAAGAGTTTTCAGTCGATTGTAACTCCTCAGGTGCTCAACATCAAGAGGCTAGGAGGATGGAGAACTTGATGGAGTCGAGTTGGCACAAGCAGGAAGCTTTGACGGGGAGAGAAGAAACAACACTCGCAGCCCTCTAGCCGATCTTTGCTTCTTTCATTGACCTTCCTTCCAGGGACAAAGCGAGTCACTCTTCTTCAATCAACACGAGTGCACCTAAAGTTGAGTGATGAGACGAGTTGAATGCGGATTTTCGTGCTGATATAGAATTAGAATAAATAATTGAAAAACTCTACCAACCTAGGGATCTCCAACTATCAGCAAAACATTGACAAAATTCATAACAACTGCTATGGAGTTGGGTAGTATTTGAGCAGGA